AAAAAAAAAAAAAAAAAAGAAAAAAACTAAAATGAACTTATAAAGAAAATTACCAAGTTGCTAGGTGAAAATGGCTCATTTTAAATACTGCATGTATATTCACCTTACCTAGGTTCATTTAAAAATTATTACTGTAAGCACCAACTGGGATTTTGAAGGCGGGGGCAAAGAACAAAATTTTTCTTAAAGTATAACATATGGAAGAGAACATTTTATAAACATTAACTTCTACGACTGTTTTTATTTTTCCATCATCAATTTTCATGTTTGGTCTTTTTGTCAAATGGGAGAAAAAATGGAATTTTATGACTTACAAAATTCAGTGAATACACAGACATGCTATATTGAACTTTCCTGAAGGTATGTTATACAACAATACAAGAATGTTTTAATGAAAATGCATCAATTTTCTCTGTAACATGTACTATGAATTATTTACTTCACAAGTTTTAAAGAGTGTAAAGTACACACGTTTTACCTGAAAGCTCCATAAAGTGGTCTGTACCAACAGACAAATGAACAAGGAGTAAAAAGCAAGAACCACAGGATGCTCAATCCAAAATCAACCGCTCTTGTAGAATCAACACAAAACCAAGCCAAGCATCCGAAGATATTTAGAAACAGTGTTACTGCATGGACTGTGGATCAGAAAACAAAATAGAAAAAGCAATGTTTACATTCAAATTATGAATTCATCCAACAAAAAATTATAAATAAAAAGATACTTTCTAAAAGCAAATGTATTCCACCCCATGTTTCCATTTGTATTTTTCAAAACATTGCTGTATCTTACATATTTGATTTGACAACAGAGTATACACAGGAAATCGTGTCTTAATACATGTAGTGTTTGGCAAAAATTCTGTTGGCCCTCTCCTCCTCATGGGCAATTACATAGCTAAACCAGAGAAGCACTACCTTAAGGGTTTCTTCCCAAAAAGGAAACATGTGATGTATCTTGATCTGAAGCCCAAGAAGCAAAGCAATGCCTGTCAGGAAAAAAAGACCCAGGACTTAGGAGGAAAACTATATTTTTACAGAATGGGACTACACACTAAAACCTGGACTAAAAAAACTAACGCAGTAGCAATTTCCAGTGATTATGTAGTCAGTGTATAAGGATTATTCATTCATCTTCATAGAGTTGTCCATTTATAAAATCCTGGAGGAAAAATGTGTTTTGGTAGAGGATTAGATTTAGATTAGATTCCTCATTCCCCCACACAACATGATGCATTTTAGCTACTGTGGCAGGCTTTTCTTTTGGTTAATACAAATAGATATTGACAAACTCATCATATGCTGTTAATAATTGCTTTCCCTGATAGACCAAAAACAAACAATCTGAGTTAACATCTAACTATACCATGATCCTAAAGAACTACTTTGACCCAATGTAATTAATAAATGTTTCAAAGGATGTTCAAAAAATTTATTCATAGGCTGAATTTATTATAGTAAGTAAATTATTACATAAGCTAAAAGAATGTTGTAAATTATCAAGTAAATAGAAATATGCCAACAAATTACTTAAATTAAAATTAACAAGTGGGAAAAACAAATTGGATCTAGTTTTTTAAAAGGCAAACTTTAAGATCTCTTTACAAATCAAATTAATAATTAATGAAACAGGAATATACACACACATTTTAGGATGCCTAAATTTGCTCTTACCTAACCCCTAGATAAGTAAACAAACTCTAGAGTTTAAAAAAAAAAAGAGCTCCAGATGAAGTTACTTTACTTAGATTGTAATCATCTAACATTAAGACTGCCAGTTAACCTCTGTAAGCTTCAATTTTTCAGCCACAGAAATACAGAGCTCTTTCAACTTTAAAATTTCATTCAATTCTATCACAAAAGAGGCACTCTCACTCATTACTCTGGTCCCATTAGGATTTTTAACTCTCAGGAATGCTTGCTTATAATACATTTACTCAAAACTCTTGGCCTTAAAATAAGGGTAGTTGTATTAAGATCTTAAAAAGAGAATTGAAAAGATTGTAAAACAGAAAATTATTGCTCTGCAGCATTACATAGCACCCGGTTGCCTTAAAAAGTTTTAGGCCTTAACAACGCTCTACCTTAAATTTCAATTTTCAAATTAGGTTATTTACTAATCCACTGAAAGAAAGACAAAATATATGTATACTTATGCTTTAAAGTTCATGAAAATTCTTCCAAGTATAGATGAAAATATCAATCTAATTTTGTGTAACAAAATTTTTTCTAAATGCTTTCTATGAAACATGATCAATAAATCATTTACTTATATTCCAATGAAGACTAAGATGTCCAAGACTAATTACTGAACAGTCTGTCCACTTATGCAGAGTTCAAAAAACATATAGAAAGGTAAAGTAAGTCTAAAATATGATTCCATACTGCGAATTTCAATCCAATTTAAGTGAGTGCTGTATCAATGCTGGAGACTCCAAGAGTAGGCAGAACATAAAGAAATCTTTGGGCCATTTTGTTTACATGATTTAAAAGTTGAACAACTCTCCTTCATATAAAATTTCAGTTTTCTTCACTGAGCATTCAAATCTGGTATTAGATGATCTAAATTTGCAACCATTATTATAATATTCTTCTTAATAAGTTCTGAATTACAATATAGACACCTAACATAAATAACTTTATAACTGTAATATCGTCACTAAATGGTCTTTAATGTAGCTGGCTTATTTTTATTTTTTCCTTTTTAATTCAAGAGTACACTCAAAGTGGCTGAGATTCATTTCATAATATTTCTACCTGCTTCATTTCATTATAAATTATTTGCTTCAGATAAAGTACTTTTGAAAGAATATCTTCTTCACATTCAGCCTAAAATGTAAATTATCTCTTCATTTAGGTTCTTTCTTCTTTGTAGATGGTAGAAGTTGGAAATCTAGACTCTGGGCTCTATAGTCAATCTATACACATCTCCTTCCTTACTTATGTAATGTTGAACAAGTTACTCAAATTCTCTAAGTTTTAGTTTTCCTACCTATAAAACCAAATAATATAGCACTTCCTTCACAGTGTGGCTAAGATTTAATATAATAAGATAATATAAAGTGGTTAGAACTGTGCCTGACACAAAAAGTAAATCCTCAGTAAATACTAGCTCTCATTGAGGCTGAGTGTGAAAGCATTAGTCAACCCCCAAATCAATAACAGGTTAACATGTCCTAAAAATAATTTATTAAAACAGGCTAGATTCTATAAAATGCAGGCACATTACTAAGCTGGTAATAGTAATAATTACTTTGTTCCAGGTAATGCTTCTTCAAAACAGAACCCTAACTGGAATCATGGGCCTTCTGAATACAGTTGACAGACATGCCTACTGAATAGGGCTAGAGAAAGCTACAATCAACTATGTTATTTCTGAGAGACTCAGAAAGTTATACATTTCTAAGACAAAACAGATCTATTCTGAAATAATCAGCATTGATAGTTAATAATCATTTAGTTAAAATTAACCATCCCTCCCTTTTAATCACTGTTTACTAAATTCCTTGTATAATTTTCTTCCAACACCCAGTTCCTCCACCAAAAAATATTTTCCTAGTTCTAGCTACTCAGGAGACTGGGGTAGGAGTATCCCTTGAGCCAGGAGTTTGAGTCCAGCCCAGGCAATACAGCAAGACCCCATCTCAAAAAAATATATATTTATATTTTTTCACTATGTCAAAAAACACATCTAAAATGCTAGGCCAGCTGGGTATGGTGGCTCATGCCTGTAATCCCAGCACTTTGGGAAGCCAAGGCGGGAGCATCACTTGAGGCCAGGGGTTTGAGACCAGCCTGGGCAACATGGTGACACCCTGTCTCTACTAAAAATACAAAAACTAGCCAGGCATGATGGCACATGCCTGTAGTCCCAGCTACTCAGGAGGCTGACGCACAATAATCACTTGAACCCAGGAGATAGAGGTTGCAGTGAGCCAAGGTCGCCCCACTGCACTCCAGCCTAAGTGACAGAGCAAGATCTGTCTCAAAATAATTAATTAAATGCTAGGCCAATTTCTGCCCATTTAAAAAATATATACATATATACAACATAAATGCATATATTATATTGATTAAGAATTTGCATGTACATATATGGAATCAGACATTTAATAATAAAAATATATACTACTGACACTGATGATTTAGCAAAAGATACTAGATCAAGAATATCTTTAAAAAAAACTAAAAGGGTTTAAAGTAGACTATCCATTAGGAATCATTTCTCATATTCCAAAAGCACTTGACATACATGAAGAATGCTCCTAAAAGATTTTGAGGAAAGTTATCTCATCCGTTAAGGAAGGGGGAGGTAGTCTCATTAATCATAAAGTAAAAACATGCAAATTTCCTCCATCCAGAATGTATCCTACAAATTATCCACTAACCCAGATGTTGCACATCTTAGAACCATCAACAGCTACCTGCCCTTCTGACATGACATCAAATAAGGCTGAGACTACTGTTAGAAATTAAAATGAAACAAAGTAGGAGGTCTGTGCACACGCAGCAAAACTGTTAACAGCTTGATATTTTTTTAGAATTCCATGAGCTGTAATTATACCCAAAGTGATGTGAGCATCACAGCCCCAAATGTATATCCTAATGTTCCATTCAATAAAATGTCCTGTATTACTTTCAATTATAAAAGTATTGCAATTGAAAACAAGTAAACTCTACTCAAAGCTATAAAAACACTTAAGTTTATATAATAAGTTTATGCCTCTTTTAAAAAATAGCTCTAACACCTACCTTTAACAGAATTCTTTTACATGGCCTTCCTCTGCAAAAAATTAGTATGCATAATTTTTTCCAAGCAAATCATGCCTAGATATCATCTTTCAAGGAAAAAGAATCTTACAAAATTTTACCCATGTGACAGAGAGGTTGTCTTCTCCTCAAAAGAATGCCAGTTCTCAATAGAGGTTTTTCTCAGCCAAGGACTTACACTGTCACATACAGTACAATTCTGAAGTAACTAAATATGATATGTTTCACTCTGAAATCATGATTATTAAGCTCTATCTATAGAACAAGCAGACTGGTTTATTGTACTATCTTTGAAATAAAAATATGAATTTTGACAACAAAAATATAAATTCTAAGCAAAGATATAAATTGTTGTATACTCACACATCCACAAGTAGTACATAAGCTTTACTGTCTTTTGGAATTCTACAGGAATGTCTACAGAAAAATCCTGATAGAAACAAGGTCCCACAGGAAAATTGCTAGGAAGAGGTGGCCAATTATTTTTTCTACCTGTAAATTTTTGTAAAAAAAGAAAAGGTTATTTACACTATAACAAATATGTGACATTCTTATTTTTGGTTTCATAATAAAGAAAAACTCTATTATTTTAATAAAAGTTTAGAAAAACTGTAATACTGTATCTTTGTATTCCTAGAACTTTGAAAGACAAGCTTTAGATTTTTTAAAAAATTTTCTCAGAATATCATCACCTTATAGCACATTAGATGGTAAAATAATTTTCCCATGCCATACCACAACATGTTTAGCAGGAACCATTTATGTATAGAAAAAACAGGAAACATAAAGAAAGCACATATCCAGTGCTTCTGCCCTAAAACATATTTATTTCACACTCCCAAGACTCTGGCTGACATGAAAAGGCCAGCCAGTTTTTAAACTTCAATTTTCTCCTTAGCATCTTAAATCTTTAAATATAATTCTGTTATAATTCCTAATCCAGGTGGCGAGAGACCAGCTTCTAATTTTTTCAAGTTTTCTGTTAAGTCCAAGATTAAATTAATACCAAAGAATCAAATTTAGAATACTCAAAATTGGGAAAAAAATAATATTCAAAAGATACAAGCATGAAAACCCTAAATCAAAGAAAACATGAAACAGTCATGATAAGGAAGCTGAGGAAAAACAGAGCCTATTTAAAAACTCAGAGAAAAGCAAATTCTAATCATGAAGGGGAAAAAATCTGTCAATATAAAGAAAGCAGATTAAAAGTAAGACTTAAAAAATGGTGGGGGGAAATAAAAATTAAAGAAGTCAAAACATAAAAAACAGGAAGTGCTTTCTCCACCATCATGGTGTGTGCATTACTCCATTTCTCGCTATGTCTTCTCACAAGACTTTGAGGATTGCGAGATTCCTGGCCAAGAAACAAAAGCAAAATCGTCCCATTCCCCAGTGGATTCGGATGAAAACTGGTAATAAAATCAGGTACAACTCCAAAAGGAGGCATTGGAGAAGAACCAAGGCATTGATCTGTAAGAAATTAGTCTGTAGGTCACAGTCGTGTTACCAAATCAAGCTGAAAAATGTCACCGCCATCTGGAGAAGTTTGAACAGTTTCTTTTCTGTATCTGTTATGAAGGCATTAGTACAACACATAGTGCTTCCATTATTCATGTTAAAAAAAAAAAAAAAAAAAAAGAAGGTTTTGGTTGCCTGGGTTAAGTAAAAAATATGTGAGACCTTTCACTTCTTAAAAAAAAAAAAAAAAAGCAGGAAGTAAAAACAGCACCTAAGGCCATTTCCTAACTTTAGATGTTATATCCCACAATTTTTAAAAATTCAATTTTATGTACTTTTTCCAGACCAGGGTAATTTTTATAGTAGAAAGAACAATGACCTATTTCTGATTCTCCCCAATGAGTCTCCTCTGTTCCATTTATCATACTACTCAAATTTCATACAGTTCATTTCCCATACAAATCTCATACTATTTGAGAAGAAGCAGTGAACAGTTGTAAAGAAGAGAGGCTCTGGAACCAGAAGTGGCTAGCCACTTATTGGCAAAGTTGCCTTGGACACTCACTCTCTCCTTTAAGCCTTAGTTTCCACATTTGTAAAACGAAAATAAAAACTGTACCACCCTTCACAGGATTGTATTGAGGATTTAAGTATGAGTTAAGAGGGGGAAAATACTAAAATGCACTAACATACAGCAGTCTAATTGTTGATTTCCTACTCTTTTGTTACTGCCTTTACTAAAACATCTCTCATAGAAATAGTTTGTATTTGCCAGTGCTAAAGAAATAAGACAAATTTTTAGTTACATGTACTTCAGAAACACTGGTTCCAGTTAAACTTTTAGTTTCTCCTTCTATAGATGCTACCTCTGATGCTGCAAGCAAGAAAATGACCCAGGATAAATGTGTCCTCACCAGGCCCTAGACTTACACTTCGAAGATAAAAAGAAATAGTAGTTCCATATATTGTTATTGTTCTAGCTTTGCACTGCATCACTATCCTAGACATCCTAACAATGAGTTATCTAGCTCTTTCATCTTTTCTTACCCAAGACTGCTAGCTTTCCCTAAGAGACTCTTTTGAAGCGATCTTTGGCAGGCACAAACTGAATAGAATTCACTGCAAACAATTCACCACTTATTTCTTTGGCATCATATGAATACTTTAGGTTTCCAATTTTTCTAACATGATTTGACAAAATACTTGTGAGGACTGGAGCAGATAATCTGAAACTGACCTGAATAAATCAGGTAAGAGTCAAATGCAGGGTACATGCAAATGTATTCAGAAAGGTTCAATATAACCAAGGAGGGCCTAACTGCAGAATCAAAGGCTCCTGGCCTTAGAATAAGCCAAAATTATTCACATTCACTTTCTGTGTGATGAGGCTAACACTGCTCTACTCTATCAACAAAAGACTATGCAAATCAGCCAAGATCAGAAGGCTACAGAGTTTCAGGCAGGCAATCTCCTGTGTCTGATCTCCTTATTAGAACAGGAAAACAACACAGGGTTCATCCACAAGTCAAATGACCTAGGAGCTAGTATAGATATAATGTAAAGTGTTTAAAAGTTATTTCTGTTTTAAATTTCTTTGGATACTACCATGTTGACTGAGGTTTTGCATTTCTCGTTCCCGGCGATCTAATTCTGCAGCTTTTCTTTCTAGCTCTTCCTGGCGCTTAAGAAGTTCAGCTTGGGCCAATGCATGTTCCTAAATAAAAAACATCAGTAAGTGAATATAGTGTCAGAAGTATAAAATATTTTAACATTTATATATTAACTCCTACTTCTCTACTATGAGAGAAGCCTAATTCAAAAGTGCTTCCAAGGTACAGGAATTTACTGAAGATCACAGTTAACAGAAAATATTATGGGAATATTTGGTCCACTTGGTCTTTGAACTAAAAACCTTCAGTGGGGGCCAGGCGTGGGGTGGTTCACACCTGTAATCCCAGCACTTTGGGAAACCGAGGTGGGCGGATCACAAAGTCATCTAGATCAAGACCATCCTAGCCAACGTGGTGAAACTCCGTCTCTACTAAAAAATAAAAAAATTAGCCGCGCATACTGGTGGGAGCCTGTAGTCCCACCTACTTGGAGGCTGAGGTAGGAAAATTGCTTGAACCCGGGAGGTGGAGGTTACAATGAGCCAAGATCACGCCTCAGAAAAAAAAAGGAAAGAAAAGCCTCAGTGGGAAAGTTGGTTCCATTAGGACAGGAAAAACTGCTCTTAGTAAAAGTAGTCAGAAACCTTAGGTAATCTGGAAAATGAAATTAAGATGACCTCTATGCCTATATCAGTGAAGAACAGAGGCAATGGGAACAGTTGAGGAAAACAGACAACAGATAAAAGGGCAACTGAACTGGCTCCTATAAATCAAATTAAATGATATGTAAGGCTGCCAATGCAAAAATATTTTATAATATCTTAAATGTTATAGGAGAATGAGGTGAAAGGTTGTGAATAAGGAATTATGACTCAATTTGCCCTTATATGTTATCAGGCATCCAAATAATCTCCTTTTTTCTTAGATTTTTGCCAACTTCTACTTCCTAACACTGTTACTTAATAGTATCTATTATTCCATGACTTTTACCTTAATGTAGTCTGCATTAAAAAGTGAGACCAAAGGCAATAAAAATTTCACTATACAATTGTAGACGAAGATAATACACAAATTCAGTAATTCCTAATAATGGAATAAAGCAAATGTTCTAAGCTGATAAAGAGAAATGAGTATCTGAAGAATGACAAGACAGCAAATCCAGACTTCAAAGTGACTTAAAAATTAAGCAACAGAAATGTAACCATATAAAGAATTATTTTATTCTGAAAGCAAACGTTATTGATACACAATTAACATGAACTAACCTTTGCAATCTGTGTATAAGCTGGATGTTCCTCTGTTGGTTTCATTATTGCTGGTTGTGTATTGGGTACATTAGGCATCTTCACGCTGCCTGGTGGAGGCTAGAACAATTAAGAGAAGGACAAACTATGTAACACAAAGATCCAACTTTAACTTATTTCAAAAGGTATAATACCAATAAAATCCAAAATTTTGCCTCTCTCCATCCCTTGCCTCTCATAGACAAGTGTGTGGCAAAGAGCTGCTGAAATTTCTCCATCTCCATTTTCTCCAACTCATTCATTTTTCAACTCTACAACTGGGCTGCTACTTTTAACGCTAAACCACAGACACTCTCCTCCAGGATACCATATGTAAAAAAATAGAGGCTGGGCGCGTTGGTGCACACCTATAATCTCAGCACTTTCCAAGGTGGACGGATCACCTGACGTCAGGAGTTCAAGACCAGCCTGGCCAACATAGTAATAACCCCATCTCTACTAAAAATGCAAAAATTAGCCAGGTGTGGTGGCGGGCACCTGTAATCCCAGCTACTCGGGAGGCGGAAGCACGAGAATCGCTAGAGCCCGGGAGGCAGAGGTTGCAGTAAGCCAAGACCACGCCAGTGCACTCCAACTTGGGCTACAGAGTGAGACTTCGTCTCAAAAAAAAAAAAAAAAAAAAAAAAAAAAAAAAAAAAAAAAAAAAACAAAAAAAAAAAAAAAAAAAAAAAAAAAAAAGAAAAAAAAAAAAAAAAAAAAAAAAAAAAAAGGGAAAGAACTAAAAATAGGTCAAATAGTTTTGAAGATAAAGCAGGAAGACCTGTGATATCAAGACTTATTATGGGACCATAGTAATTAAGAGTGTAATACAGACGCAAAGACAGAGAAATGTACCAATAAACAAAACAGACACAGAAACAAACCCACACAGGTGAAGAAACTTGATACCCAACAGAGGTGTCACTACAAAACAGTGAAGAAATAATGTGTTAATCAATAAATGGTACTTGAATAATTGGTTACTCATACAGGGAAAACAAACAAAACTAGATTTCTTACTTCACATCACATACAAAAATGAATTCTAGGTAGATTAATGACCTAAAACTGAAAAAGCAAAACTTAAAAACTTCCAGGAAAAAATTCATGGAATTTTTTAATGAGTATTTCTTGAGCTTCTAGCATGTGAACTCTAGAAATCTTGCATATTTTGTTTATGATCTACCCCAAGTACCCAAAATAGTGCCTAAAGCATAGATGTTCAGTAAGCATCTGTCAAATTAAGACTAGAAAACACACAACCACAAAAGACTGACAAATGCTCAGTAAGCATCTGTCAAATTAAGACTAGAAAACACACAAACCACAAAAGATTGACAAATTTAATTACATTAATTTAATAACAAAAAACTAAAAAGTCAAATCATGGACTAGGAAAACATAGTTGTAATGCATAGAACAGAAAATTCTACCCAGAATATATAAAGAATTGTTACAAATCCATGAAAATACAAACTAATTGAAAAGTTAGCCACAGATCTGAACAAGCAATACAAAGAGGTCAGTACATCACTAGTAATCAAGAAGTGCAAAAACAATCATATACCATTTCAAAACCGTGAGATAGAAAAATAAAAACTCTGATAATACCAAAATTGGGATTTACACAATATACACAATGGTGGTACATATGAAAATTAAAGCGACCAAGAAAGTCAGTGGAAATAGAATTGTCAATAAATGCTGTTGGGAGAATTATTTAAATTGGGAGAGGAAAAAACAAAATCCCTGTATCTAAACAAAATTCCAAATGGATTAAAAATTGAATGAAAAAAAAAACGAGGCCAAAAACAACTATATAGACACTAAAATATATTCTACGGACTAGAGGGCATTATCTAATCTTGGCGTTAAGAAAAGTCATTCTAAACATTCAGAGAAGATTTGGGGAGAGAAATCATAATAAAAAAGTAATATATTTGGCTACATAAAATTTAGAACTTTGATGATACACAGCATTCATAAGATTAGATGACAAAATCTAAATATTAAGCAATATATACAACAATTAGTTAATATATTTCACTAGGTACAAATCAATACAAAATAAACATGTTACTAAAAAAAAACTGCATTTTAAAAAACCCTTGACAGTTTACAAAATACAAAAGAAAAATAAACATGTAAAAAATTTCAACCTCACTAGTAATCAAAGAGATGCAAATTTTACTTAATTATTTTTAAAATAAATATTATCATAGGATTACCACCATATTTTGAAAAAGATGTGGTAAAATGGATATTCTCACACACTGAAAAGTGGGATTATAAACTAGTACATGTAGCAGTCCTGGAGCACAATTTGGCATTATGTTTCAAGAGCCATAGAAGTATTTATACCCCATGTACTATGAATATCTGGTCTTTAAAAATATCCTGTGGAAATAATCCAAGATATTTGCAAATGTATATATGCCAAGAATGCTCACTACAGCTTTATTTACAAAAGCAAAGGGTTACAAATAACCCCAAATATCCAACACAACAGGGAAACAGATAAACTGATAAATCTATAGGAGAATATATAATACAGCTATTTAAAAGTTCTAAAGGTCCAGGCGCCATGGCTCATGCCTGTAATCCCAGCACTTTGGGAGGCTGAGGTGGGCGGATCACAAGGTCAAGAGATCGAGACCATCCTGGCCAACACAGTGAAACCCTGTCTCTACTAAAATA